TTTCTGACTTATTTAGTTTTTTAGACTTGCATTTGCGTTTGTAATTTGTTATTTTGTTTTCAGAATTGTGATTTGTTTTGCACTTCTCGCCCACCGTATGAAACTGACCTCAGTTACAGAGATAGATGTTATAACATTTATTTTTACAGCAGGAGAATTCAGACTGATTCCAATAATCGATTTTAGTATCCTTAAACCCATATTTATTCAACTATACACTAAAGGCAAATGCACCGTAATAATACCGGAAAATGTGGTAGCCTAATCTTCTGCCAGGACATTACTTACTTTTCTTTATTCTCGTTTTTCTAATAAAAAGGTTCAATGTTATAATTAAACTCGTGAAAAAACGTAACATTTTCACAGTAAATACTGTATGTGGGAACATATGGTGACAGTAAAAATAATCACTAGATTCTCACAAGAAAACATGAGGGCAAACAGACAAAGCCGTGGGGAAAATAAGAGACATATGGAGGGTGAGAGAGAGAGAGAAAGGAAAAGAGTGTTAAAAACATATTTTAGTCCATAGTTCACATATAAGCTACTCTATAACGACGAATATGAAGATTAATTAATAACGATGCACAATGTATTATATATACTGTAAGCTGTTCTTTGTCCTCATGCATCCAAAACAGGTACAATTCACCTATCCAGGTCGGGAAACGCTTTGTTTTCTAATAAAGCAAAGGGCTGTCTCCCACAGACATACAAAATCATTCAGACGTTGATTAGTACACATATCATACATATATCACATAAATAAACAGCTACCTTACACCGCGCGGTTCCAGCCAGTGTGCAGTTGAAGTCGCACGTACGCCGTTAAGGTTAGTTCATTTGCATAGACGCTCGCTCGGCCGATTCAAATGAAAATTCGATGTTCCAGTGTGACATTTAAATGTAGATTAAAAGAAAAATGCCGCGGTGCTGTGGTCTATGCAGTGCGCTCGTCGTGTCGGCAGGGATGCTGGGGTCACACTGACTGGACAGGAGGAGGAAACGGGAGGAGAGTAAAACAGCGTGAATTATGAAAACTACACGAACTGCGCACACTGGAAAAGCCTGTGATTTAAAAAAATAAATAAAAAAAACTCATTATGAAGGCTGATTTTTGGAAATAGCCCATGATAATAAAATAGCTACACGGTGCAATTAAAAAACATTTCCACAAAATAAGTTAGTTATGCATTTCAGCAGTATTACTCCGTAAGAATGTAACATTGAAAAAGAAAGTAGTAATTTTGTAAGGGAAAAGTATTAATTACATTAGTGTATATAATCAATTACAAGTGCAAACCTTTTGTAATATTACTTTTGAAAATGAAAAGTATAAATTCAACTTGATATTGCTTTAATATTATATACTTTTTAAATATATTTCACCATAACTGCACTGTGAAATACAGCAAAAAATGGCATCTTTGGAACCAAAAAAAAAAAACAAATAACTAGTCTTTAAAAAAATGGTAGGCAATGCACTTTAGTTAATTTACCAGTAAAAACTTGTTAACACTAATTCAGTTATGAACTGTAAAATGCATGACCCAGACCCCCTTCTGCAATCCCTGAAATATCGGTACATTTTAAAATGATCAGCATAAACAAAACAAAAAATATTTCCATTAATTATTAATTGTAAAGCAGTTATTATCTCTGTTTGGCAGTCCATTGAAAATGGTTCCAAACACTACTATGAACAACAATGAAAACATGAGAGTGAATGTAGGCTACTCTCTGGTCTTATTTATGTCCTGCAGGTCTGGTCTGCCGCAAGGATGTCAGGCTGGTTGAAGGACTGCGTGTGTGAGTAATGAACAAGCTATGTTGACTGCAGACACATCTACTCACCAACAACACATTTACATTAGTGTTCAGTTCAAAATGCAAATACTGAATGACAAGTCAAGGATATACAGTCCTCAAAGAAAATATGCACATTTAAGCAGGACTATTGCAGTGGATAAAACACCAAACCAGGAGGCTTCGTCTGACAGACACTTTTTTCAGAACTGTTTAATAGGTTTGAAGTTATAAAACAATATAGTTTAGGTTGTTTCATGGGGGAAAAAACCCCAACCCCAAATAAAAATAACTATAATAAAACGTATGCTTTTACTGTAATAAATGCTGCAATCTATTTAGTCAATGATATACCTTTGAATTACGAACCAAAAAGAGAACCTACATTAGTATTGCCTGTGTACTCTTGCTTTTATAGAATATTTTAAAAGAACAGTCAGCACTATGTAACCTCTGGCGCTCTAGCGGTTGATAAACAGAACTGCACACATCCCGCGGAAGAACATTGCGGCCGGAGCTACTTCTCTAAGTTTATGTCTATGGCGATTCACGCAGGTATGTGTTACTCCGCAGCGGTGACCAGGCTACAATAATCCAAATATAAATACTTATATTATAAGTGTACCGTAGTGATTCGGAATAAGGCAAAAACGCGGTTTGGAAGATTAATTCATGATGTACTCGCTCATTATATACATTTAGCAAATTTTGAACACAGAAAAAGTTACATAGTGCTGCTTTAAAGGAATATGTGCACATTTCTCTCCTGATTCAGACGAGACGATTTAATTTTGGGCTCGAAGCTAAAAACATCTTAGTAACGAGTTTATTACAAACATGCCACTTTTTGCTTCACAAGATATTAATTGATGGACTGGAGTGGATTATTGTAATGTTTTTTATCAGCTGTTTGGACTCTCCTTCTGACGGCACCCATTCACTGCAGAAGTGATGTAATGCTAAATTTCTTCAAATCGGTTTCAAATCAAAGCTATTGCGCTTTTGATGGTGGCATTTATTTGGTGCCACATGATAAATGATCAGTTCATAAAAAAAAACAATAAAAAAAAAAAGGAAATACTAAAAAGGAAAAATAGTATGCAGAAATGACACGGAAAAAAGCAGTCAAGTATACACAGAGGCTTGTACACACAAAAAAACCCTGTACAGAATGTTACACGCATAAAAACATCTTAAAAACACAAGTGTTCAAACGCTCCTCTTCAGACACTTCACTTTCCCATACTGCTGAGAATATTGGCCTGTGAGGGGAAAAAGAAAGTGTGTGAAATCTCCTAAATCACATTCTTGTGTGCTTCCTTCTAGACACATTATTAAAAGATCCACAGCAGACACAGACATTACCGACACAAACCACAAACCTTTATGAAAGAAGAGAAACGTTTAGCTGTAATGCCTTCGATTTGCTTCAGGTCTTCCACCTACACACAAGGAAAATAAAGAGAAAACTAAATATTAAATCAGCATGTCAAAGTTTCGCACATCACATGTGAAGAGCCAGACTTCTACCTGTGTGAAGTCCCCATGAATCTCTCTCCAGCCCATGATCAGTTTGGCTTTCTTGTCTCCGATCAGCTGCAGGCTCTTGAGATCCTTCAGAGAGCCGGCGTTCAGCGTCTGCAGGATCTTCTTCCTGGACTGCTCTAGTAATGCTGAGTCCAGATGGGACTCCCAGTTGACCTCATCAGCAGGGGGACGATCCACACCTCCGTTCTCCTTCCCCTGACCCACCTTATCAGCAGAAAACCTCAGTTAATCATGGCAAACGTGAAAGCAACATCGCAGTTACTGTCAAGTGCAAAATATACCAGCGCTTGACAGCTTTTAAGGCATTTATTTGGTGCCACATGATAAATGATCAGTTCATAAAAAAAACAATTAAAAAAAAGGAAATACTAAAAAGGAAAAATAGTATGCAGAAATGACACGGAAAAAAGCAGTCAAGTATACACAGAGGCTTGTACACAAAAAAAAAACCCTGTACAGAATGTTACACGCATAAAAACATCTTAAAAACACAAGTGTTCAAACGCTCCTCTTCAGACACTTCACTTTCCCATACTGCTGAGAATATTGGCCTGTGAGGGGAAAAAGAAAGTGTGTGAAACAAAGGAAATCTCCTAAATCACATTCTTGTGTCTTGATATTTTATTCAACAGTTTTAATCCGTTATGGAGTTTGCGTCCCAAGGCACCAAAGCGTTGCACCTGCCTCAAGAGCTCTCACTATCTACAGCCACTGGACACCGTGATTGATGCACGTGATTTTTAATGTGATCTTGCCTTGGCTGTGGCGTGTTCTGTGACAGCTGCAGCTAGATCTGACTGCTGAAGTGTCATCTGGGGCAGGCAGAGTAAGAGTAGCAGCATTTTCTGTTTTGTCACATGCATCTATCGGATCGTAAACAGACGGAGAGATATACCGATATATATATATATATATATATATATATATAACTCCATGTCAATAAATTTTTAAACAGCCAAGATGTAACCCCTTTTCAAAAAGCTTAGAAGGGTTCATACAAATCTAAATGATTATTTCTGACAGCATTGTCGTTTTTGGGGTAAAAGAGGCCTTCAAACAAACATTGGCATTTGAATCTGTATCTCTGTAATATCAATTATTTTATTAGACCCAAATCTCCTGGTCGGAGCACCATTAATTATTGTTGTATATTGTAATACGCACATGTAAAGAACAACCAGAAGCACACTGACCTCAGTTTGGATACGTTTCTTCTTCTTATCCAAGAACTGAGAGGGCTTACACACCACAGCACACTGCTGCAAGGGCTGCACCTGAGAGACTGAGATGTGTTTGGACGGGAAGAAACGGCTCCTTATTTACCAAATACAGGCTGAAATGTTGTGCTTAAAGGAATAGTTCACCAAAAATGAAATTTGCTGTACATGTACTCAACCCTCAGGCCATCCAAGATGCAGATGAGTTTGTATCTTCTTCAAAAGATTTGGAGAAATTTAGCATTACATCACTTGCTCTTGAGCTGAAAATTTGCATATTTGTACAAAACAAATTCAGGCGTTTTAACTTTAAACAGTTACTGTTTTTCTTTTTTTTTACTGGAGAAAGCAATGTTATGGATTATGAAATCATATTTTAGCTGCAAGTGACGATTTGATGTTAAAAATATTTTAATGATGGATTTGTTTCTTACAAACACGCAGCTTTTGGCTTCACAAGACATTAATTGATGGTGTGGATTATTGTGATGTTTTTATCAGCTATTTGGACTCTCATTCTGACGGCACCCATTCACTGCAGAGGATCCATTGTTGAACAAGTGATGGAATGCTACATTCCTCCAAATCTTTTCTGATGAAGAAACAAACTGATCAACATCTTGAATGGCCTGAGGGCGAGCAAATCTTAGGGCGAACTATTGCTAAGTTTAGATTGTCAGGAAATGCACTCTTAAATGTATCAGTTCAGAGTTTCCCATCTGGAACCACAGAAGCTGACAGTAGCAGGATGAGAGAGGGGACAGAGCGGAAATGCTTCGAGCCCTGAAGAACAAAGCAACTGTAGCATCACAGAAACATCCTGCATACTAACAGCACAACTCAACAGGCAGAGGAAAGAGCAGGAAAATTCAAAGGGTCATAAAACACTAAACCACTTAAATCAATACTGCGTTCTCTCATGCATGAAGAGTGTCCCAGGAGGACTATAAGGATGAACTTAACCACAACTTACCCTGTAACGGCGTGACAACCGCTTGCTGTTTGCGTGGTTTGGAGGCTGTAGACGGTTTTCTGTGCAGTAGGGGCAGATCTGTCTTAAAGAGAAGTGCATCTTTGGACTCTTTCTCAATGGTTTCATTCTGCTTGTTTAACACGTTTGCTTTGTCCTCCAGCTCCTTCTGTTTCTCCTTCAACATCTATGAGAAGACAGCAGAACATATTTGAAATCACCCACTGGCTGATGTGGAAGAGGTTTTCCAAACTGAGCACTCATGTACAGTTTGCAATTGGTATTAGTAATCTGGCAACATTAAGAAATGTTGTTCTGACCAAGCAATTGATAGTTTTCACGTGACGTCACACCCTTATAGGAACGCCCACCTGGAGGGCAAAACGAAGCTTTACTCCACTGACCGCCAGTTATTTTTACGCAGTTTGCATTAAGTAGTAACATAGTAAAATGCAGATATTAAAAGGCGAAATTCAGTAAACACCTCATTATGTATATTTTGTACAGGCAAGCAGATGAAGCCAGAATATAAACGTAATGTGCAAAGTTTCATGTTAAATGGTTTCCCATAGAAAACCATTAGAAGGAAAACACTGAACCATTAAGCGGATTGCGTTCATATTCCCGCCTCATCTGCTTGCCTATGTAAACTATGCATCATTAATATAGAGGATATTACTGTTTTAAATATATTAAGGCACTTTAAGTGTTTTTACAACGTTTTGACGCACTGTTTAACGATAGAAATATTGCCGCGGGTGCTTAATATGGATTGCAAATGGATTTTTGACTTATTACGATAGAACTTCAGTGATTAGACTTGGTAACCATGTATGAATGCATATTTGTCATTTTAATTAAACTTAGGACTGGTGGTAATGCTTAAGATACTGTTACCCATTGGGTTTCTGTAAAAAAAAAAAGATATTAGTAACAGATAATAGTAATAATTATTAAAAGATAATACTACTCCTACTACTAACAATATACAACGCACTAAGGATTGATGAGCTGCTGGTTCATGAATATTAATCATGTTGTCAGCTTGTTGTCATCGAACTGATTTGCTGAAATCAAAACAGGGATGGTAATAGATGAGCGCCAGCCAATGAGAATGCCGTTTGCATATTAGCTCTGCCCACTACCAGAGATACCGGCATATCTTCTGCTTGTTCTTAAAAGCTGAATAATTCTAAATGAACTCAGTTATTTTGACAGGAAAATACAACAAAGAAGATGGTTTACACGCAGTGTGTCTATTGAGCGTGGTATGCAAGACTCTCGCTCTCTCTCTTTGCATGTGTGAGAAACACAGCGCTATCAGCAAAGCGACGGAGAGTCGTGCGCCTTCACACTAGAGTTTACAGCGTGTCAAATACAGGTGTGCTGCGCATCTATTGAGCTGAACTGAAATAGTACAGATTTGTTGATGGAGAGCGAAACTCTGAAGCGCTCAGTCAGTGTTCTGCGAGTGAAAATATATCTATGCTAATTAATTAGCCTCTCACACACATACTGGCAAGTAAAATCTAAGAATTTATTAGCCAATGGCTAATGATAGACATTATTTAGTCGCCCAGAGTAAGATTTAGTCTCTTATGCGAGTGATTCACTCGCAATGTAGAGGATTGCAAATATTGAAAGAGTGTAGGGCTGAACGATTTTGGAAAATAATCTAATTGCGATTTTACCAATATTGCGATTGCGATTTAATATGCAATTATTATTTTTAAGCTCTTTATGTTCTGTATTATTCAACAAAGACAAGCTATAAATCATTGTATAGTATGACCAACACAATATTAGATAGATTAAACATAAATGTTCTTTTCTGTAGGCCAGGCCTATATGTTACGATGAAATTAGGTGATGCATGAATTGATATGAATGACATTTTTATTTAACAACTACAATCACAGTATATTGACTGATTTGTTGAACTTCCAACCTTGTGAGCATGTAATAATTATGTTTAAATAAGCCTGGTGTAAACATTAATATGAAAGTCAGTAACAAATTGCACAAACTAAAGTAGATTGCAGAAATATAAAAACAAATCTGTTGTTTTACTACACTACTTTAGGTAATTCACAGTCACTGTAATAAACATATGTAAACATGTGCACTGCACTTTTTAAACACTGTCTGTGTATTTTTTGTGGGTTTCATGCTGTTTTACACGAGCAGCAAAATACATTAGAAACCATTATAATCAGTGACGCTGTTTACACTGGATGTGACGCGACAAGACAAAACCCGACATTAAACTGATGCCTTGTTCTATTTATGACGTACTGACACAAAGTTAAAATGATTTGCAACGGTCGCTTTGTCACGTCCTGAGCTGTTGCGGTGCGACGCACAACTGTAGAGTCCGGTATAGACACGGTGAGTGAAGCCGAGAGCAAGATATGCCTTGTCATATTTTCTGCATTTAGCTTTTGAATGACCAGCACCTGCCTGGGTCTGTGCGACTTCATCTATGGCTTTTCTCTTCGCTTTCACAAACCGATCCATCTCCCATTCTAAGTTACGTCCTTTGGCTGTTTACTGTTTTATTTCATTTCTTTTTCTGCTGATGGCCCGCGCTTGACTTGAAGCAGCGCTGCTTAGACCGATGGGTGTGTCATCAAAGCACTGCGAGAGCTATAAGAGAGCAGACGTCTCCTTATGCTTTCTCTCGCCGTACTTTGATGACACACACCCATCTGATCTTCAAGTCTAACACACCTCTTTACTCTCGCGTGTCACGTGACCGCGTAATTGCAGCCTCTGCGATTGAAAAATCGCGTTATTTCATATCGCGATATTACCGCAAATGCAATTAATCGTTCAGCCCTAAAAGAGTGTGTACGATACCTGTATTTCTTTACGGGACTGTGCTACAGTTTTGAGCAGGTCGAGTCTCTCCCTCTCAGCAGAGCCCATCATCATCTTCTCTAGGGCCAGGAGTCTTTCCAGAACTGATGAATCTGGTGAACTGAAAGACATTTCAACTTTAAGCACATATACACCAGCCAGACAGCATCAGATAGATAGAGATAGATAGATATGTGTGCGTATATCATTATTTGTCTTAAAGTCAACATTCAAAAAACAACAACACATTCAAAAAACAACAACAATAATAGCAATAACAATTATGTAATCAAATGAAACTTGAACTCCTTTCATTTTTTGGCAAAAAAAAAAAAAAAAAAAGTGTTGCCCAGCAGAGATTTACAGTTTAAATTAAAACAAAAATTGCCATTCCTTAAAAGATATAAGCTTTATTATTATTATTTTGAGACATTCTATTGTACTGTAGCAAATTTACTTGTCTTAATTCAAGTTTAACCAAACTTTTATTTTGAACGGGTTGTTGTATTCTTTTTAATTGAGACAGAACATGCAGACTTCATATTCAAATAGCAGTATTTTGTGCTTTAATATTCAGTCACTAGTCTAAAGCGCAATTAATTTAAGTGTAGTGCCCTACTTTTGATTTATTCATCCAAATTTTGAGAAATTCGGTGACATTCCACATTATACAGTAAATTCTATTTATGACTACTGTTTCCTCTCCCAAATACTACCAGCAGACACGCTGTAAAAGTCAGTGGTATTTGTTTGATGGAGAGATTTAATTTCAGCACCAGCTACCAAATCATGGTCTACCACACAGAGACCAGGACCTGTTAAAGTGCTAAAGGAGAACTAGAATGAAGAGAAGTGCACAGGTTCAAACCTTTATGAGGAGGATAGCGTGACTGCGGCTGGAGCGCTGGTTGAGTTTAGTAGAGGCCGTGGTGCGGTTTAGACTCGCGGGGATAAAATGAGTGTCAAAATCAGTAAAGGATGAGAGTGGTGTGTGTGTTAGCCCGGGAATGAGGATGTTTCTGTCCTTGTCTTCACGGATGGGCAGGTCCTGGGAACCCGGGGATAACAGGTCCAGCACCTACAGACACAAGGTGCATCAATATTCCAGAGCAGCTGCCACTGAAATGGGTTAAGTGTGTGTGCGTGTGTGTATGCATATATATTTACTTATTAAAAAAATACTTGGACTACCATTCAACAGTTTAAGGTCAGTAAGATTTTTCTTTTATTTAGCATGGATGCATTAATCAAACGTGACAGTATATATAATACTCTATTTCAAATAAAAGCTGTTCCTTTGAGCTTTCCATTTAAAGAATTCTGAAATATTAAAAAAAAATCAATTTCAACAATTGATAAATGTTTCTTAAGCAGCAAATAAGCATTTCTGAAGGATCATGTGACACTGAAGACTGGACTAATGGCTACTGAAAACCCACAGAAATTAATTATTTCTCAAAACATCTGACCTTTTCATTGTAGATCTCGAGGTAAGACATCCCAACCGAGTATTCCCAACCATCCAGATCCTTTTCCTGAGCTTTAACCAGTTTGAAGACCTCCTTGACAGCTCTGGTAATTACACCCGGCTGCTCTTGACTGCCAAGCATGGTGTGGGTCTTTCCTGAAGAAATGAACAAGAAGAGTCTCTAGATTGTGAACTGACAATATAAAGGCACGTCATAATAATCCTAAGAATCACATCACACAAGTTACTAAAGGAGGCGGTTGAAGAAATCTAGGCGGAAGAAATTTCATAGTTTACACTGAGATGATAACGATATCGCTTTCAACAACATGCACTTTGAAATCCATTTTCAAAAGTTTACCAGCCCCCAAAATAGGAATATGACCTGCAGAGGAAAAGACGACACGGAGGAAGGAGTCATACCTGCTCCAGTGGGTCCATAGGCAAAGACACTGGCGTTCTGACCATTAAGGATGTGAGGGAGGATGGGCTTGACAGAGGTCAGAAACACCTCCTGCTGTGTGGTCTGTTCACCATGAAACACATCGAACCTACAAACCAATATACAACGTTAAAATAAATCACTGCAAAAATAAATAAATAATTGGTATCATTCACTGAGTTCCAAGACTACAATAATAAAAAACAAGTAATAAATATAAACGTAAACAATGTATTTTATTTTATATATATTAAAGGGGTCATATGATGTTGCTAAAAAGAACATTATTTTGTGTAATGAAATGTGTTTATGCGGTTTAATGTTCAAAAAACACATTATTTTCTACATACTCTACATTACTGTTTCTTCTCTATGCCCCGCCTTTTTGAAACTCGTCGATTTTTACAAAGCTCATCGGTCTGAAAAAAGCGAGGTGTGCTCTGATTGGCCAGCTATCCAGTGCGTTGTGATTGGCCGAATACCTCAAGCGTGTGACGGAAATGTTACGCCCCTCACCATACTGTGATGCCCTGTCCCGGAGCGACGAGACAAAAACAATAAAACCCATTATAAACGAGGCATTTGTTGCATCCAGTGGGGACATAATTACTGATTATTATGACTTGTACTTTCTTTTTACGCGTTGCATCGCATAAACATAAAACCATGTCTGCATTTGTGATCGGAGAAACGACAAACAACAAGCACTACTCTACACTGCTCAAAACTCGTGTTTGAATCAGTGGCAAATCCTTTAAATATATATTAAAAAAAAGGACTTGCAGTCAGAGAGTCAGAACAGCCGGCATTGTAGTCTACTCTACCAGGATCAGGAAACAGTCCTCCATATAATGTGCTGCATACATCTGAATATTTGGGTTGAAGTGTTCTGGAACAGTGTTGTAAACACAACTTAACCACTGATTTCTAGTCGTGTCCTCTTTTGGAAGCCCAAACAAAGTAGTTTCACTTTCACAACGAAACACACGGCGGGCTAGAGTGAGCGGCGGCCGGCGGGCTTAGAGAACGGCGAGGCCGGCGGATTCGACAAAGGAGCGTCCGGCGGGCTTGCGGCAACCGCATGTGACGACCCCGGGTTGAAATCGCATCATATGACCCCTTTATACATTTTAAGTTATAAATTTGTAATATTTTGTTCTTAAAAAAGGGATGCAATTATCTTAAAAACCTTGCAGACAATTATAACGTTCCAATAAATAAAGCTCAATGCGGTTGACAAATTGAGGGTCAAAAGTGAACTGTCAAAAAAAAAGGACCTGACTTGAATTGATTTGATCAAATTAGAAAATATATTTTCTTATAATTGTTAACAATACACCCTGAAAATCAATTCCACTGCGTAAAGAAGAAAACACTGATACATATTGTTGTATTACATTATTGCCAAAATGGACCTAAACCTAAATCACCTCAAATCAGTCATGTATATTATATAAAGCCTTAAATGTTTCTCTCCCTGATAATCCAAACAGGCACGTTTAGAGCCAGTGGAGTTTAGTCAAAGAGAACTTTTAAAAATGTGTATTCCTCTTAAACTGCTCTTCTGTTTCAGCGATATGAATATATTAATCACAGATGCTACTGTTCTTGATTTTTGTAGCATCTCTATTTACAACCTGCTGCAAAGCGTGCCAGTCGAGAGGCTTTCCTTCACAGATCTGTTACATGCTGTCCCTCTGACTGGACCGAGATCAGTTTTGCAGCTTCATCTCCAGCATTTGAGTGGGGTTTGTATTCAGTGCAAGTTCAGGTCAATCACATGTGGAAGATCGACTCAAATTCATTGAGTAAGAATTCTACAATCTGGTTCTGGAAGACCATGTAAGTGGCGATGTTTGCCATCTCCACCTCCGGTTTGAGTAACGTTGGGCCGAAAACGATAGCCACATTCTGCACGCTCATTCTGTTCTCATCGCCGTGTTGAATAACCCTGAAAGAAAGAGACAGAGACATGTTGTAGATATATACAGTAACGTTTATAAAAAGATGTACATGTGTGTAAAATGAACAACATACTTGCGTAAATGGCAGAATAGGGCCTCCATTGTGTTACGGTTGGGTGGTGGCAAAGACCGTACCAGATTTCTCATGTGTGCTATTTTACTGTAATAATCAGGGATTTCTGTATCAAAGCACAAGGAAGAACACAAATTAATTCAATTAAAACTTTATTATCACTATATAGATAGATAGTTAGATCTAGATTATCGATTGTAATGAATTACAAGTATTATATAATGAATATATCTATTAAATAAAAATATCTATATTGTGGAGTACCCCCAGACCCCAAAAAAAAAAAAAAATCTGAGAAAAAAATTGAAATGTTTCTATTTTCCATTTTTAAACTATAAATTATATTATCAGTATAATTATATTACATAAAAATATCAATATTATGGAATCAAGAAAATCTGAGAAAGATACAATCATAAAATAGTTCTCTTTTGCATTTTTATAGTTTGCTTTTTGTATTTTGTAATTGTAAACAATTTTACAAATTATTTTATTAGCATAATAATTATATTAAATCAATAAAAATATCTATATTGTGGAGTACCCCTTACCCCCCCCCCCCCCCCCCCCCAACCCAACCCCAACCCCAACCCAACCCCAACCCTAACCCTAACCCTAAAAAAAAAAAAAAATATTATGTGTGGAAGACCCCCCCTAACCCCCCCCCCCCCCAAAAAAACCTGAGAAAAAGATTAAAATGTTTCTATTTTCCATTTTCATAGTTTAATACAAAAACAAAATCTACAAATTATATTATCAGCATAATAATTATATTAAATAAAAATATCTAAATTATGGAGTCAAAAGAAATCTGAAAAGAAAATTAATAAAATTGTTCTCTTTTGCATTTGTGTAGTTTGCTTTTTGTATTTTGTAATTGTAAACAATTTTACAAATTATTTTATTAGCAAAATAATTATATTAAATCAATAAAAATATCTATATTGTGGAGTACCCCCTACCCCCCCCCCCCAAAAAAAAAAAACCAAAAAAAAAAAAAAACACACATAGCTCAGATTATTAATTAAAACAGGACTACCCCATATATAACAGATTAGAGAAGGGGACAAATGAATAGGGCAGAAAAGTTAAATGTCCAGACAGTTACACAATTACAGAATTCCTTGTAGTATAATAGGGCGAAGATGAGGTTCCATATAGCTAGGGATGTAACAGTATGAAAAGTTCATATCACGATTATAGTGACCAAAGTTATCACGATTATCAATATTATCACGTTTTGTTCAAATTAGATGAAAACGTTCAAAAAGAACTGATACACACACTGAAAACATTTCAATAAGTTTTATATTTGAAAATCAACAAACAACTAATACAATTAGCAGCTATATGCACTTTT